GCTGCAGTCGGCCACGAGCTCTCCACACTCGCACACGGTAGGTACGTTCTGTCGGATGCCCATGCGGAAGGCCAGGGCTGTTCGGAATTGCCCTGGTGAGAAGCAGAGGTCTGGGGTCAGGGGTAGGGCTTGCAGCCATGCTCCCGCTCCCTCGCCTCTCAGGCTGACGAGGCGGAGCGTGTGGCCCATCTCGGGGGCTGACCTGATTGAGCGTGATTCCTCTGTCAGGGTGTCGGCCTTTGCCGCGTGCACTTCCTGAGAGAGGGCCCGCTGCAGCTGGTCTTGGGACGGGGTTTCTTGCTCCTCACGGAGGTATTGCAGCGCCAGCGGCGGCAGACGTCCCTCCATGTCTTGGATGGTGACTGAGTGTGCCGCAGACGGCTGCAGGGCGTTGCTGTTGCTCCCTAGCGCCGCGGTTGCTGGCAGGTCGAGTGAGCGGAGCAGGCGTAATGCCTCTGTCGTTGAGGTCAGGTAGGCTGGTGCAGCTTCTGTTGTGGGATCCGTGAGGCCCAGTCCACCTAGGGCCACTGGGAGGGTTGCTTGGCGGATGAGAAAATTGAACTCGGCTTTGCGGCGGGGTGGTTGGATGCTGGCGGCAGTCAGGGCGGTGTTGAGCAGTTCGGCGCACCACGCGTGCCATTCCGAGAGGGGAAGGACATCTGCTGGGGTGGTGCGCAGCAAGTAGCCGATTCTGCGGCTGATGCAGCGGGACAGGAGCAGGAGGGCATGCTGTGGATGGATGGATGCTAGGGAGCCCAGGGGTGCCGCCGCGTCTGTCAGAGTACTGCGGACCAGGTCAGCGCAGAAGCGCTGTGACCCCACGGGACTTCCCAGCACCCGTACCCCCTCGTGGGTGAGTGGGAGGCCCTCGGGGAGCTCGTCACCCTCAAGCGGCGTCGTGGACCACGCCGACGATTTTCTGAGGTTGCAGGTGAGGCCATCCTGGGCGAGCAGCGGCGTCAGTAGCTTAAGCGCGCCGAGCGTTGCTGTCGCCGGTCCGACCATGGTGATGTCATCTGCGTATGCTAGGATCGTGACTTCTGGGTGCTCTGCTGCTGTGCGTCTGAGGTGCTGCTGGATTGATGCCGCGAACAGCAGGGGTCCGAGGGGGTCCCCTTGCCTCACCCCCCTTCCGCTGGTAAGTGCCGTCGTGCTCAAGCGGGGATCGGTCAGCAGCTGAGAAGGCGTTGCGTAGAAGGAGCGGGTGAAAGGTATGAGCGGTGCTAGCGGGGTGTTGTTGAGTGCGTTGAAGAACGCTTTCCTCTCTACGGAGTTGAAAGCGTTTTCAATGTCGAGTTGGAGGACTAGGCTGGAAGGTTGTGAAGTGGTGAGGTCTCTGACTGCATGTATAACGATCTCAGCTCCGCCTGGGACTGCCACACCGAATTGTTGGGGTAAGAAAAATCGCCTTGTTTCTCCTTGCAGTTCCGAGAGTGCCACCTTTGCTGCCAACCGGAGTAGGGATTCCCCTATTGCGATAGGGCGTACCCCCCCCACTGGTTTCGCGAAGGCGATGAGGCGGGATGGCGAGAGTAGTGCTGCAACCTCGGTGGAAAGATTCGTGGAGAGAAGATGTGTTACGGCGGAGTGTAGGTGCCCCAGCACTTCGATGTTGCTTAGGGCTGGGTCGCGGTAGTGTTCAAATGTTGACCCGGATGGACCAGCCCCAACTCCGCTGGGGCAATCCCCAAGGACGTCTGAGAAACTTTCCGCGGTGCACGAAAACTGCGTGGGTGTTGTGTAGGTGTGGACCCAGTCGGGCAGCTCAACTTGGGGTTGGGGATGTTTCAATTCCAACTGCTGCAATGTTGCGATCGTCGCAGGGGCCGCTGGCGAGGGTGAAAGGGCTGCCAACGCTTTTCGCAGGTTACCTCGTTTCACCAGCCCCTCCACACGTGAGCAGATTCCCAGGGGGTCGTTTTGGTGCTGAGGTGGCTCAGCTTGGTGCAGGGACCCCACGTAGTCACTGTAGAGCTGGTTCCAGTGGCCACATCTGAATAGGTGCATCTGCTCTCGCAACACCTTCCACTTAGAGCTGGACCTCCTGCTAAGTCGTAAGGTGAGACGTGGCAGGAACATGAGGACCCGCCACGCTCCCGCGCAGTTGGGCAGTTTGGAGATCCGTAAGAGGGCGGCCAGCATACAGGTGGAGTAGTCGCTTAGTATCTGCGGCGGCAGGCGGCGGACGATAGGCAGGTGGGTGGTTGACGTTAGGGTTGAAGAGTCCCAGCTCGTCGCGATCTCAAAGAGATCCTCCCTCGATGCCAGCTGGGACGCTGACAGGGCTTGGTCCGGAGGGGGTTGGGGTCTGCGGTTCTGTCGGCGTCTAGAATCCCTCTCCTGCTGCTGCGCCTGGTCCTCCCCCGCTTCTGCGAGAGGTGAGTCGGGGTTGTCGGGTTGCCTCAGATCTGACGGTACATATTCGTCGCCACTCCCTTCTGCGTTTGTATCACCGATTCTCATTGCTTGCGCTGTCGTTCCCCTTCTCCCCCCGCGTCTAGCAAACGACTGGCGCGTGACTCGTTCCGCTGGTTCCCCCAACCAGATTGGGCTCGGTAGTTGGCGCGGATTCCCCCTCGCCGCTTGGCCTGCACTCCGCTGTCCTCCGCGCGCTCCTCGACCCCCGCCTCTCCCCCGCGTGCTTCCCCGTCCGCTCCTCGGAGTGGCTGCCACAAGTGCCGCCTGTTGCGCCTGGGAGATCGGCGTCGTCGGCTCCTCTTGTGGCAGTGGAGCGCCCTGAGCGCTCGCTGATGGATTTCCTCGGCGCTCCGCTTCCTCCTGCACGCCCTGCCGCGAGCCTACCTGTTGCTCCACCGGCGTCCGCTGATCAGATCCGCCGCCGCTTCGAGGACCAGCAGCGCGAGCTGACTCGGCGCGCGGGCAGGTCCTTGTCACCGCCGGAGCCCCTGCGCGCGGGGTCCGTCTTGCGCTCCGGCGCAGAGGCTGTGGCGCAAGACGATAAGCGGGAGAGCCGCCGCGATGATCGTCACGGTGCAGCCCGTTCGCCGCTGTCTCCTCGTTCGCCTCGTCGCGTGGCGTCGCGAAGCCGATCCCGTGACCGCCGTTCGCATCGTCATCGTTCGCCCCCTCCTCGTTCATCTCGCCAGCGGTCGCCTGCCCGCCAGACGTCTGGGCGTCGGCCCCCAGCTCCGCGTTCGCCCCCTCCTGCAAAGCGCCAGCGGCTCTACTCCCCTCGTCGCGGGGACCGTTTTCCTGGCCGCCCGCGTCAGCAGGGCCCATCTCGCCCGCAGTCGCCTGTGCGCTCGAGCGCAAGTGGGCGTGCGCGTCGTGGGCGACGGGGAGGTGACAGTCGCGGCGGAAAAGCGGGTCCAGCGCCGTCCGCAATGGAGCGCCGTCTTCTGGATAGGCTTGATGACGTGGAGAAGGAGATTCGTCGCTCGCGTGCTGGGTCGGCGTCACCATCAGCTCCTCGTGCTGCTCCCGTCGTCCCTCTCTCCGCGCTCCTGCCCCACAATCCCTTTGGATCCCCGGCGCGTTCAGAGCGGCCGCTGCCTGCGGGGACGGGCTTCGTAGGTGCTGGTGGCGGGCCGCCGTGGGCTCAGTTTGCTCCGCCGCGTCCTCTTCCTGCTCCGCGTGATCTCGCCGTGTCGTCTCACCGTGCCCGCGCGTATGCGTTGCTTCCGCCGATGAAGGAAGTTCCCACGGCGACCCTGGCCCGCCTATGGTCGCTGGCGGCGTCCCTGCAGAGCCTTGAGCGGATTCTCCAGGAGTCATTTGACTCCATGCCGGTGAGCCCTCCGAGCAGGTTCTCTCAGAAACCGCGAGCAGATTGTCATGCGGCGGCTTCAGCGCTATTCGCGCTCGTAACGCCACTGCAGGTAGCGCCCTCGCCGGGAGCAACCTCGGCCAGCCAGCTGGCTGACTCGGCCCTGGCTCTGAGGACGCTTGTAGCAGGCCCTGGTACTCCTGTTGACGTTGTAGGTGCCACCGTGTCTGTGGTCCGCCAGTTGTGGTTGAACACGAGCGGAATGCTCGCTGCGGTAGAGGCGGACCGCATGTAGGCGCTCCCCCCTTGCGCGTGTAGACCCGTTCCATCCTCTACTTGCTAAGTGCCTATGCTTGCTTTGTTTGTATCGGTTGCCTAAGCTACTACTGCTTGTTGTTTCCCCTTGCCATCCTTAACGCGCGGCCGAAGGCCGCGCACGCGAGCGCCGGCGGGCGAAGGCCGCCGGCGCGAAGCGCCAAAATTTCCAGCACTAACTGAAAGTTTGGGAGATGGAGAGGCCGCCGTGGCCTTAAGTAGTCATGGCAGAGGGCAGAGAGCAGAGGGCAGAGGGTAGAAGGGGAGAGGCTAATCCTCTCTCTCTCTCGCTCTCTCGAACAACACCAAAATTTCCAGCACTAACTGAAAGAATGGGAGATGGAGAGGCCGCCGTGGCCTTAAGTAGTCATGGCAGAGGGCAGAGAGCAGAGGGCAGAGGGTAGAAGGGGAGAGGCTAATCCTCTCTCTCTCTCTCTCTCTCTCTCTCTCTCTCTCTCTCTCTCTCTCTCTCTCTCTCTCTCTCTCTCTTGTTAGAATAGTGGCACAAGTGGTAGTTAGGTTTAGGGCCTAGGCTTAGTAGCCTAGGCCAAGGGGGAGTCGAGTTGATTTGTGCCAAGAGGGGAGAGGAGAATGGGTGTTCACTATAGCACTAGGGTACATATAGCAAACAGAGCATGCAAAGAAGGTGCACCACCAACAGTTTATAATAACTACACTAAACTACAGCTACAGGCAGTTACAGATATATTCTAACATCTCTCTCTGCAGCTTGCTCGTCCCATCGTTCCCCAACCCCTCATCCTCCCAGCCCTAGTTGTAGTAGCTTCTCACATCACCCTACATTCCACTCTACTTCTCTTCCAGGATTGTCCTAGTGCTTTCACCATATGTCAACCTCTCAAGCGTCTCCACTCTTCCTTGCCCAACTTCTCTTCCGCCCACCTACCCCCTTCCCCACTCTTCCCGCCCTCCGCTCCCCCCACGGCCAACGCCACAGGCGAGCGACCTCCTATCAGCGGGAAAATCCTCGAGTCTCGGGGATTCGCGCATGGCAGCACCGGAGGACATCGTCACACGCGTCGCCAAGCTCGCCATCAGCTGCACCGCCATGCCCACCGCCTCCCGCCCCTCCATGTTGCGAGTGGCCCAGGACCTGGAAGCCCTGAGGGCCGAGGTGGGAGGTGGGGTGAAGAGCGCCCCGGGAGCAGCAAGAGTGGATGCCAATATTGTAACTGATAAGGTTGAGAGGACTATAGACGAGGATCTGGAGCTGCTGAATCTGGAGTTCTCTTAGGAAGAGGGTAAGGCTGCAGCGGACTTGAATGTAACAGCAGCAGCAGCAGCAGCATCTGATTTTATGAGATGATGGAGATGGTGTGGTGCGGTGTGGTGCGGTTTGGTGCGGTGAGCGAGCGCCTGCCTTGTGGGGATTTTGAAGACATGACTTGTCAGCGCCGGCCCTTCTTGTGAGGAATCACTGACAAGGTGCCTTGCGCTGCTGGCGCATATTTTGACTGACTGCGTATTGAATGTGATGTAAGGAGTCACTGCGGCAGTGTCGGTGCGTTCACAAGTAAACATTGGGTTCGGGTACGGTTTACGTTACCGTAATCCCCAGCATAGTACTGGTACACCTCCCCCAAATTGAATACACACGTGCTGTGCTGAAAAATGCTCTTCAGTGGCTGCATCGCGTGGCACGCAGCACAGAAACTGCTTCAGCTAGTCTAGGTACACCGGAGTGACCTGAGTACAGAATACACCGTGACATGCATAAACATTCAATTCTACATTCATATTTTATTATATTATGTATGTAGAAATATAACACCCACGGATGCAAGCCCACACATACACCACCCCACCCCCCCCCACGCCCCCCCAAATGAAACACCCCGCTGAATGGGGGGTATTTGTCAGTACACCCTAACGGTGCATGATCAGTAGGATTTTCACGGCAATCAGGCCAAAATGCCTTGCTTTAGGGCGTGGCTCCATTTTGCGTTTTGACTGTTCGAACGTAAACGAAACCGGTATCCTGCGTTCGACAAAGCTCGCATAGCCTCTTATTTGATAACGTGTTTTAACGAGACAGGAAACCCCGTTTCGCCGACGGTTCGAACCGTCAAAAATCAAAATGGAGCCACGCCCTTAGAAAGCCCTGCTGCCGACTTTTTGCACGGGCCGAGGGGATTTGGGACGCAATTTTGTGTTTGCGAAGCGACCACTTCATCGTCAGGGTGTTGTAGCGCATTAGTTAGATAGGAAGCCAATCAGAGGGACGAGTACCGCGCAAGACGCGGAGGTTAGGTGTAATGGTAGGCTTATGGCTGTGTTTTTTACTTCCGTGTGAATGTACTAGGCACAAGGCTAACCGGGTTCTCATTTTTTAGCGTGTCCCATTTCCACATCGTGAGGTCCCAACTTTCCGTTCCCTCGCCAAACCGACCTTGAACGCCATCTACAGAGCGCCGTCCCCGTTCGCCTTGCTCAATCAGCAATTGCCGACACGAATGGCGGAGTCGCATCGCGTCGCCGTGGTCGTCGTCGCGATGCTCGTGATCGCGATGGCGAGTAGCCTTGTAACGACTACTGCGGAAGCCATCACTCAGACTCTCAACCCGTCGCAAGGTCGGTCATCCCGGCCGTCAATCGCCTCGCACGCGTATTCGCGTCGCACGCGTATTCGCGACGCACGCGTATTCGCGTCGCACGCGTATTCGCATCGCACGCATATCCGTCTAGCACACATGTCCGTCTGGCATACATATCCGTTGCGCCTAGAATATTACTCTTGTTTTGACCCAGTGGTAGCGAGGCGTTAAATTGGTCTCAGAGTCTAGGTTCGATTCCCGGCTGGGTCACATTTCCTGCTGTGATCGTGCAGTTGAATATTCAATATTGTAACCCAGCCGTGAATCCAGTGAACGATCCGTCGCTGGCCTGGCTCACCAGTAAAGTCGCCCAAGAGCGAAGCTGAGGACAGACTTCCTGCCCAGCGAGGACGTCGGCTGCAGGGGGTGAGCTGACGAGTGTAACGCCCGTGGGGCTTACACGTAAGGGTTGAGTGCCTACGCTGCGCCTCAGATTTAGCCCTCGATTTGACCCAGTGGGTAGCGAGGCGTTATACACCCACCCACCCACCCACCCACCCACCCACCCACCCACCCACCCACCCGCCCGCCCGCCCGCCTCTTCCTGTGCTCTCCGTTCACGGAGCCCTTTTTTCACACCTGGTAGGTACCGTACACCCACACTCAACTCACATCCAACATCACACCACTCCTCCCTTCCACTCTCACATCGACGCATCTTCTGCTCCCCCAACATCCCCCCACCACCGTTTCCCCGCTGCTTGTGCCACTTCCAGCCCGTTCCCTGCGTCCTCCCTCTTCACCCTCCCCCCTCCTCCCCCCCATACCCCCTTGCGTACACTGGACTGGATTGGCTTTGGAGAATTCTCGAAAGGCTTTTCCTTGCACCCGCTCTCATGCTCCCGTCCAAACCTCACACTCCGCCCTCCCTGCCCACTGTCTGCTGCCCTCCTGCCTCCTTTCCCCATTTTCTCCCCTCCGCGGTGGCGGCACTGGCAGAGTGGCAGCAGCAGTGGGCGGGCGATAGCACTGCTGCTGCACGGCTGGGCCACTCTTTTAAGACGCCTCTAAAAAGAATGACCCCCCTTGTTGCTCCCCTCCCTTGTGCAGCGGCGGTGCTAGCAGAGTGGCAGAATCAGTTGCCATTTTTATATCTTACTGGGTGGGACAAAGGCGGGGATTGCGGTGCAGTGTATGGCGTGTTTTGTGACTCCTACGGCAATATGATTCACATGTGAGTGAGAGCAACAATAAAGTGGAGGGGGGTGGGGGGGGGGAAGGGAGGGGAGGGTATGGACCTGGTCGTTGGGGTAAGGGGAGGGGAGGGAGTGAGTGGGGTGTTGTAGCGTGTGGAGGGGTTGGGAAGGAAGGACATCAGCAGGTGGGCGCGTGGGGTAGAGGGAGGAGGGGGAGGGGAGGGAGAGGGAAGAAACTGAGCTTAGGGTTTAGGTTTAGGGCCCCACTACCCATGCCCCATGACACACGCCCCATGCCCAATAGCCAATAGCCGATGCTTCACACACTTGTCCCGATGCCACCCGCCAGGGACATTGAAGACCAGCCTCTGGACGCCCCCTTACCAGACGCCATCGGCAACCTCACAACCCTCAAAATTCTGTACGTTGTGCCATGCTGTTCCAGTTACTGCTGTGCCATTCCACGCCACGCCACGCCACGCGATGCCATGTCACGCCACGCCACGCCACGCCATGCCATGCCACGCCACGCCACGCCACGCCATGCCATGCCATGCCATGCCACGCCATGCCATGCCATGCCACACTATGCCACGCCATGCCATGCGTCTCTATTCAATCACATGTCAAAGTCAGTACCCCCACCCCACAGTCCTGCATTACCTACATACTCCACTCCCATGACCTCCCCTCCTTTCCCCCACCCACCACCCATGCCTCTCAGCCGTCTCACCAAGACTAACCTCTCAGGCTCCATCCCACTCTCCTTCTCTCGCCTAACGCAGTTGGAGCAGCTGTGAGTGCCGCCCAGGACATGGAATGGTGTCGTGTGATGGTGATATGTCACACACAGTGATGGTAACAGGGCATGTTGAGTTATCTGCGCTGCTTCCTTTGGTCATTCGGGTGACTCACACTTTCGCACCAGCGCGTTACTACCACTACCACTCGCCGTGTGTCCCTCTGATTGCCCTCCAATGCCCTGCTGTGCTCTTTTGCCATGTGTCCTGTTGTGACTTGTACGTGCTCTTTTGCCATGCTTTCGCTGTCGCACATGTGCACTGTGTCACCGTGGCATGTCACCGTGCCCCCTGCCCCTTGCCTTCCTCGTGCCTCTTTCCTTGCCTCTTGCTTTTTGCCTCTTGCCTTGTGCCTCTTGCTGCTTGGTTGCTGGCAGGGATCTGAGCTACAACAGTAGAATCACAGGGTCGATTCCCCAGGCACTGTCAAGCCTCAAGAACCTTGCACTAATGTGTGCCACTCCTCATCCTAGCCTTCGCATTCTCAATGCACCACACTCTCGTTGCATCGCCTCTCCACTGCACACTACGTTTCAATAACGCCGGGGCTTGACACTTGGACCCACATTTGATGTGGTGCGCTTCAAAATTACCTGAGGCTATATACACTGTGAGAGAAAAGCCACCACATCACCTCTCTTCATTGTGTATATGTATATGTGTGTGTATGTGTGTGTGTGTGAGTGTGTGTGTGTGTGAGTGAGTGTGTGTGTGTGTGTGTGTCTGTATGCGTGGATGTGTGCGTGCATGCGTGTATGTATGCATGTGGGCATGTGTGTGTGTGTGTGTGTGTGTGTGTGTGTGTGTGTGTGTGAGTGTGTGTTTGCGAGTGTGAGTGTGTGTGTGTGCGCGCGCGCGCGCACGTGCGTGCGTGTGTGCATGCGTGTGTGTGCATCTGTGCATGTGTGTATGTGCGTGTGTGCATGTGTGTATGTGCGTGTGTGCATGTGTGTATGTGTGTGTGTGCATGCAGAGATTTGAGTTACATTGGACTAACAGGACCTTTTCCATCATGGCTACCAGGTCTCAGCAAAATGTTCAGCATGTGCGCTCTCTTCCTTCCTCCTCTTCCACACCTGATCATCCTCTTCCACACCTGATCATCCTCTTCCACACCTGATCATCCTCTTCCACACCTGATCATCCTCTTCCACACCTGACATCCTCTTGCACCCTGCTCATCCCTTTCCACCACTGCTCATACCCATGTGTCTGTGTTGTGGTGGCACTTAGCCTCCCAAGCCTTTCTTGGTATTGGCATGCATGCATGTTCATGCAAGCACGCACGCACGCGCATCCTATCCACATGCAGAACATTCTTACTTTCAACCACCCACATTTAAACACCCCCCTCCCTCAAACACACACACTCACACACACACGCGTGCGCGCGCTCTCACACACAACACACGCACACACACAACAGATGCAACTACCGTTGCACATCCTGCGTGCACACACCACATCCTTCCGCACCCTACTGTAAATAATTTCATGAAAAGTCCTCCCCAGGGCCATGCGTGCCAGGCGTTGCTCTCAATCCAAGCTTCTGCCTGCATGCATGCATGTACCGTGTCTCTTCTGCCTGCTGCCTGCCTGCCTGCCTGCCTGCCTACTTGCCTGCCTGCCTGCCTGCCTGCCTACTTGCCTGCCTGCCTGCCTGCCTGCCTTCCTGCCTACTTGCCTGCCTGCCTGCCTGCCTGCCTGCCTGCCTGCCTGCCTGCCTGCCTGCCTCCCTCCCTGCCTGCCTGCCTGCCTGCCTGCCTGCCTGCCTGCCTGCCTGCCTGCCTGCCTGCCTGCCTGCTGCCTGCCTGCCTGCCTCCATCCCTCTGGTGCTCTGCAGAACACTGCTGGGCAATGGGCTCAGCGGGTCGATCCCGGACTCAGTTGGCAGCATGAAGAACCTCGAACGCTTGTAATCTCCTTCCCTCTTCTCTACATTTGCTTCGCCATGCCTTTTAACCATCCGTATACACATACGAGTGTACATCTCCATAACAGCTGTCCGATGTGCCCATTGATATGAAACTTGTAACCTTCCCCATGGGCTTGTCTTGTACCCATCTTATCTCCTTGACACTTTCATGTGTGCCCATCCTCATGAGGGGTCTACCTTTCCCATTTCTTTCTGTCTCCCGCTCATGCACCCATGCACCACACTCACTCACTCTCTCTCTCTCTCTCTCTCTCTCTCTCTCACACACACACACACACACACACACACACACACACTCACACAGCTGGGTATGGCAGAATCAAATCAGTGGCGCCATCCCTGAGTCCATTGGAAAACTCAACCGTTTAAGTGATTTGTGAGCATGTGATTGCACAAAACAAAACGCACTTCCTTGTGAGCATATTCTTAGCCGCCTAGTTCTTATCTTATTCTTAAAATGGCAGCGCTGCTGCAATCTGTAGATACAAACTTCAACAATTTCGACAAATACCAGAAGAAACTTTTCTCACAATAAACACAAACAATTCCATAGTAAAAACTGAAATCAATTGTGCTTCGTAACTAGTGTGCCTCGCTAAGTTTTTCCCAAGCATGCCTCGTTTCACCCCGAGTCTCACATGCAACCTTTCTTATTTCGCTGAAAAACCTTGTTATCCGAAATCGGTGGTTCGCATGTGCTGGTCCGCATGTGGTGCAGGGAACTATGCAGCAACAGGTTCACAGGCACCATTCCCCAAAGCATAGGCAGCATGTATAACATCACATCACTGTGAGTGAGGGAGCCCACCATGCGTGCCTGGGAAGTGTGTGCATGGCGAGTGTGTGCATGGCGAGTGTGTGCATGGCGAGTGTGTGCATGGCGAGTGTGTGCATGGCGAGTGTGTGCATGGCGAGTGCGTGCATGGCGAGTGCGTGCATGTGCTGTGTGCATGCATCGACAGTGTGTGCATGGACTGAACTGTTTTTCCCAGTATCCATATATTGCAATCATAACCACAACCCATGTCACACTATCTTCATGTCAGATCACCCGTGTGTTAGAAATAGGCTGTCAACACTTTTTGTACTCTATTTTATATGCTGTAGGTTATTTGTGGGTTGGGTGTAGATTTGTAATCCCAACCCTATCCGGTTGGGATCCCCCCGTAATCCAGCAAATCTGCCAACTCACCATTGGATGTTTGCTTAGGATTCCCATCCCGTCCTTCCCCAAGCTTTGTTCAACCCAACCTTGTTTGTACTAAAGGCCTAGTGCCTTTTATTCTATTTCAGTTTAGCTCTAATTCTATCACCGTGCCTCGTTACCCTTGCCCTGTTACCCCTGCCACGTTAGCCATGCCACATTCCCCATCCCACATTCCCCATGCCTTGCAATGGCGCGGCAGCAACTTGGCCAACAACCTCCTGACGGGCTCCATTCCCACCACCCTCTCGCGCCTCTCCCATCTTCAAGCCCTGTGAGCGGGTGGCCTACCAGTCAACGCGTATATAGTCAGCTATATCGAAATCACTTTTGAGAATTCTCAAAAGTCGAATGAATGCTTGGGAGGAGAGACTATTGAGTCAATAATCGATCCTGGGAGGCACGTAATAGCTTCCAGAAGAATGTGAGGCACGTAGTAGCCTGCAGCCATTAGTCTCGTTAATAGACGCCAGACTTCACGTCATTACCCACACCAAGGTACCCTCATGCTCAGTTGTGCCGCCACAGCACTGCACTGCAGTGCACTGCACTGCACTGCACTGCACTGCACTGCACTGCACTGCACTGCACTGCACTGCACTGCACTGCACTGCACTGCACGGCATTGCACCGCAGCAACCAAAGTTACTGTGCAAGTCGCTCGCAAGTCGACTCATCATGTGCACCAAGCAAGCATCGGTCTTGAGAGGCCTCAAATCTAAAAGTCACCAGTCCCAGGGTCGACATCACCTGCTCTCAACACACCGCGTGCCTGCATGCATAGGGGCATGGATGGTGATGCTGCTGTGCTGTACTGTGCTGTGTTGGTCTTCCCCTTCCCAGCACGTATGATGCTTGCTTGCTTGCTTACGTTCTAGTTCTCATGCTTGCAGGCGTGCATTCTCACATGTGTGCCTCGTGCACATCACATCACATCACATCACATCACATCACATCACATCACATCACATCACATCACATCACATCACATCACATCACATCACATCACATCACGTCACGTCACGTCACGTCACGTCACGTCACATCACATCACATCACATCACATCACATCACATCACATCACATCACATCACATCACATCACATCACACCATATCACATCACATCACATCACATCACATCACATCACATCACATCACATCACATCACATCACATCACATCACATCACATCACATCACATCACATCACATCACATCACATCACATCAAATCACATCACATCACATCACATCACACCATATCACATCACATCACATCACATCACATCACATCACATCACATCACATCACATCACATCACATCACATCACAGGAGCTTCAGAAACAACAATATGAGTGGAACCCTGCCCTCATGGATCACAGGATTGACCTCTCTCAAGTACCTGTGCGTTCAACCTTCGCCACTCCCTCAGCTTCATTCGTGAACATTCTCGCAAACTCCTCAAACTCCTCAAACTTCTCCAACTCTTCGAAATCCTCAAAACCCATGGGTCACACGGATAGCCATTCGCAAGAGCTCCTCGTTCCTTCTTCGCAAGAGTGTTTTCCTCCCATGGTGCTTCATGTGAGGGAGTGTGTGCAATCCAAGCTACGCTGTTGTAGCAGCAGAGCAGATTGCGCTCGCCTGCCATTGCTTCAAGGCTGAAGCCATTCCCACTTGCACATCACATCACATCACATCACATCACATCACATCACATCACATCACATCACATCACATCACATCACATCACATCACATCACATCACATCACAGCACATCACATGACATCACATCACACCTCACCATCCACGTGCTTCATTTTTCTCACCTCAACCCTTGGCTGGCAAGAGGCTTCATCGTCGTTGCCACCGTCCTCATCGTCTCATCAAATTCTCATCATCATTGTCATCGGTGCTGCCGTTGCTGCTATTGCCCCATCGCCATCACCATCACCACCACCTTAGTCGTCACCATCATCGTCTCGCCAACCCTGCAGCCACTTGAGTTATAACAACTTCTCCGGTACCCTTCCTGCTGGTCTTGGCAACCTTCTGCAACTCACCTCCCTGTCAGTGCTCTCCTGCTCTCTTACTCCCTTACTCTCTTGCTTTCTTGCTCTCTTGCTATCTTGTTCTCTTGCTTTCTTGCTTTCTTGCGTTGCGATGCATAGTATAGTCAAGAATATAGAATATGTGAGCTGTGCTGCTGCTCTCTATGCTGCACCTGCATCTTCTCACCGCACCTGCATCTTCTCATTGCACACAACCTCTGCCAAACAACCGCTGCTCACTCATGCTCACTTGCGCACACAACACAACACAACACACTTGCACATGCATGCACTCACACGCACATTCAGGCACCTTCCCACTCACCTCATCTCATGACCCCATTTCCCTAACCTCACCACACTTTCTCACCACCCCTCCTTCCTACCACCCCCCTTCCCGCACGCCCCAACAAGCAGCAAAGTGACCAACATGTCACTCGTATCGTTTGTGTCCTTGATGCCTTTTGAGGCGCTTCAGACGTCAACCCCCTCCTTCCACCCACCCACTCCTCTGAGCAGCAATGTGACCAACACGTCACTCGTATGCCCTCCGGACGCCTCCCCCTGCGTGGTCCCTCAACCTTCCGGCACTGCCTTCTGTCAACAGTGCCCCACTTTCTGCTCCACCTGCTCTAGTGCTGCGGGTGGTGCTGCTGCAGGTGGGTCAATGCAGGTCAATGGCAGTCAATGCAGGTCACAGTCAATGCAGGTCAATGGCAGTCAATGCAGGTCACAGTCAATGCAGGTCAATGGCAGTCAATGCAGGTCACAGTCAATGCAGGTCAATGGCAGTCAATGCAGGTCAGTGGCAGTCAATGCAGGTCAATGCCAGTCAATGCAAAACGATGCCTGGTTGGCATCCCTGCAAGACGTGCAGGCACACTGACTGTACTTTGCAGTCGACTGTGGGAGCAGTCAGGGTTGAGCAATGTAAGCAGCTGACACGACAGTCCTACAAGCCACTACCGCTATGGTTTGGACTTGTCAGGCTGCCTATTCTTGAGAATGCATTATCATGCCTCAGGAGGCGAGCAATAGCAATTGGCAGTCCCAAGTACTGCCCCTTGTGAGAACCCTCAAGGGCACCTGCATACAAGTGAAGAGTGTGAACAGGTGTGTTTTGTTGCATCAATCCACATGCCGGACCTGATGTGGTGTCTTGTACTTACAACCGACTAGTCATGATCCATATATTAATCCATGTGTGTGCATGTGTGTGTTTGTGTGTGTGCATGTGTGTGTTTGTGTGTGTGCATGTGTGTGTTTGTGTGTGTGCATGTGTGTGTTTGTGTGTGCGTGCGTGCGTGCGTGCGTGCGTGCGTGTGTGTGCGCGCGCCCCCAGGAGCCTGATTTAAACATGCGTTTCACGGAGTGCATGTATCTCTCTACCCATGTGTGTAACCAGCTCCCCCCCCTGCAGCAGCCAATGCCAACACCACTGCCACAACCGATCAATCCGGCCTGTCAGCAGGTGCAATCATCGGCATTGTGGTGGCAGCAGTCCTCCTGCTGCTACTCCTCATCGCCGCAGCTTGGTGGATCCTCACAACACGTGTGCGCGCGCGCCGCAACAACACCTCTCTTACAGGTGTGTCTTTGCTGTTGCATCTAGTTTCGAGACGTCTCAACACTCAATCCTCTTGCTGCTGCTTGCCTGGTGCACCTTCGCATGCTCGCACAGCAGCAAGCTTGCCTGCTACTACAGGTCTGACTCTCTTCTGTTTCCCCCTTTGAGGCGCCTCGAAAGCCATTTATCCGCCATCCATCCCTATCCCTCACCCCTGTGTGTGTGCAGCTGCAGCCACATGCGTCCCAGTCAGCAGCTCAACAGCATTCCAGCAGTTCCCTCTCGAGATGGTCACCCGCGCCACCAACGACTGGGCCGAGGCCAACCTGCTGGGGTCGGGGGGTTATGGTGATGTGTACAAGGGCGTGTCGCCCCTCGATGGCACCACGCTGTGGGCTGTCAAGCGCGCCAAAGTGATCACCAACGACTTCCAGCGGGAGGTGGGTGGGTGCTTGGAGTAGTAGGGACTGGGTGGGAGGCGATTTTGAGGAGTGAAGGAATGGGAGAGGGTGGTTGGGTGGGTAGCAGGACTGAGGAGCTTGAGTTGAGCTGGGTGGGCTTCAGAAGAGAGAGTTGGTTAAGCCGTTATGCAGCATAGGTCTGATTCGCTTATGCCGTTACGAAAGGTAGGTACCTATGTTTAGGCAAATAAGTATAGATTAGAAGAAGCAAATCAGTGAGCGTGTGCGCAAACGAAGAGCATTTCCATGTCGGCAAACAGTGAGCTTGTGGTGTCCTGCCCTCTGTCACCCCCACAGGTGACCCAGATGTCCACGAAGCATCATCCCAACTTGGTGCGGCTGCTGGGGTTCGCAGTGGGAGGAGACGTGCTCACACGCGTGGAGAACGTTCTCATCTACGAGTTCATCGCCAACGGGGACCTGGAGCGCTGGATGGGCCCAGGTACGTGGGCACACGCTCACATCCGGGTGGTGCTGAGTGGCGCTCCACCCGGATGTGCCCAGGACAAAGGCTCTAGTGTTGCTTGGTGCGGAGACCGTGCTGGTCTAGTGTTACTTGTTGCTTGGATGGGCGCTGGTACTGTGCTGAGTGCCGCACCACCAAGGACAATATAAGAACCACGTGTAATGAGCCTGCTTTTGAGTCGACCCAAAACCAGTTCTGAGAGCAGCAGCACCGAGGGCAATAGCTCAGAACATGCTGGTCTATGCGTTCATTCCCAGTGGGGTAAAGAGAGGTGGATGGGCCCAGGTACTGGGAATGGGGCCCAGTGGGGCCAGGTACTGTGCTGACTGCTGTACTGCTAAGAACATTAGCATCGGTGTTGTTTGGTGTGGAGAACTTGGAGAATGGCAGCAGCACCAGCAGCAGCAGCAGCAGCAGTTCCGCAAGGCAAAGGCATCATCCAACACCAGTGGTGCATATTCTGGTGATTTCGTTGCTTCATGTATGTGCGTCCGTGCATGCGCATGAATGGACCCCGCACACACCCTCGCTTCTTGCACCCCTGTTTTCCTCTCAGTTGCCCACCCGCCCGACCCCCTTCCAAATCCGCCTCTCTTCATGTGACTCCGCCCTCCTCTCTGCCGGTCTCCCCTTTCCTGCAGATGCGCCCACGCCTCTCACCCTGCAGCAGCGGCTGGACATCCTATTAGGAACGGCGCGCGGGCTGGAGTATCTGCACAGCTTTGGCATCATACACCGCGACATCAAGCCCGCCAACATCCTCATTAACAGCAACATGCAGGTCAGCCAGTGCGCACTGCATGCATGTGTGAGACGTTGTGCGTGAAAGGCAGGCACTGTGTGGTGTGGCAACTCAAGTGCGCTGCTTCAGCTGCACGTGCTCACTTCCACTTCCATTCAGCAGATTCTTCCTGGTCTGCACATCGCGCATATATATTGAGCAATGCTGTCTGTATCCGCATGCCATGGCCATCCACCTCTCTCGCTATACCAATCCACAGCAAGCCCAGCACCAAGCCCGTCCTTAACAGCAACGACGGGTGCGGCGGCTCTAGAGAAACCTCTCTTCCTTCTCTTCTCCTGTAACCTGTTATCTCCACCTTGCCTGTCAGCCCAAGGTCGCCGACTTTGGGTTGGTGCGAGGAGGGGATGGCACGATGGCGTCGACGAGGGTGCTGGGCACGGTGGGCTATGTGGACCCCGCTTACACCAGAACGCACAACACCACCACCGCCACGGACGTATACAGGTTCGCGCATGTGCATGGGCATGTGGATGCGCATATGCGTCCGCACTTCTCTGGATTGCACATGTGGCCTACGCAAGTGCCTCCTTGTGAGTCCCGCTCAGCGTGTCATGCCCCGTCATCTCTGTGCCTTATGTGCTTCACGCCTTGCCACGTCTCCTCCCACAATCTGCTCGAATTCTACTCAACTTCTTTTGTGTTTCTGTGTCTCTGTGTCCTTTCCTGTACCTGCTGTGGGCGCAGCTTTGGTGTGCTGATGCTGGTGGTGCTGTCAGGGCGAGGAGCCATCGTTGTCACAGAGGCCAAGGAGGGCGATGACCCCGCCCATCAGCCTGACCCCACGACCATTGTCCAATGGGTGCGTGTGCGTGCGTGCGCGCGCGTGAGTGCGTGCGTGCTTGCATGCGGGCGTGCGTGCGTGCGTGCGTGCGTGCGCGCGCGAGTGCGTGCTTGCGTGCGTGCGTGCGCGCGCGCGCGCGAGGGCGTGCGTGCGTGCGTGCATGCATGCGTGCGTGCGTGCGTGCGTGCGTGCGTGCGTGCGTGCGTGCGTGCGTGCGTGCGTGCGTGCGTGCGTGCGTGCGTGCGTGCGGGCGTGCGTGTGCGTGCGTGCGTGCGTGTGTCTGTGTGTTTGTGTGCACCTCGTTGTGAGAGTCAACTCAGAGCAAGCCACCACGAGCATGAAGATTACGAGCCCATGACCATTACCCCATGGGTGCTTCTGTGTGCGTCTTGCTCGTCCCACCGTTCCCCATCCCCACTTTCTGCCAAGCCCTATTTGTAGCTGCTTCAACGCCTTTCTACATTCCTCTCTGCTCCTTATCCAAAATCTCCCTGGTGCGCTCAGCATTGGCTTCCTCTCTCAACTTCTCCTCCACCCATAACCTCCCTTCCCCACTTTCCCCCCGCTCCCCGCCCTCCTTCTCCCTCCCCCCCCTCCCCCTCCCCTCCCCCTCCCCTCCCCCCACGGCCAACGCCACAGGCGAGTGAGCTCCTATCAGGAGGAAAAGCATCGAGTCTCGGGGATTCGCGCATGGCAGCACCGGAGGACATCGTCACACGCATTGCCAAGCTCGCCATCAGCTGCACCGCCATGCCCACCGCCTCCCGCCCCTCCATGTCCCAAGTAGCCCAAGACCTGGAAGCGCTGCAGGCCGAGGTGGGAGGGGGGGCCAAGAGTGCCTCAGGAGCAGCAAGAGTGGATGAGAAGATTGCAAGTGGTAAGCCTGAGAGGACCATCGACGAGGATCTGGAGCTGCTGAATCAGCAGCTGTTGCAGGAGGAGGGTGAGGCTACAGCAGGGGAAAGACCACTTCAGAACTGAGTTGCCAGAACACGCACTCATGAGATGACAATGGAGTAGTGTGGTGGTGAGCGAGTTACTGCCTGCCGTGTGAGGATTCCCCAGAGATGCTGTCACAGCACCACCGGGCCTCCCTGTAAGGAATCACGGACGAGGTAGGGGCCTTGCTTGCGCTGCTGGCGCAAATTTGCACTGAGCAGAGCGAGGTCGAAGTCACCTTTGAGAATTCTCATTAGGCCTTGTCCTCTAGTTGATCTGCTGAGCAGGGGGGAGTGTGTGAAGCTTCCTGTGTAGAGGCACACAGGGTCCGTTCAATGCTCGGTGGGTGTGGTGTGGGGATGCTGGCCTGGCTTGTCTAGCGCGCTGATGCCACGTAAATATCTAGAGGCATTGGTGCATAGTCTGAGTTCACATGTTATTTCATTTGGAGTACCTATAGGTTTATATAGACATCAAACTTAAGGCAATTCAGTGTTGCTGCTCCACTACAACTTTTACTTGTATGCGGTGGCGCGGAATGCACAGATTGGGGCCATCTACGCCTCATCACAACAGAAAAACTGGAAATGAATGTCCAGCTGGCAGCCTTCGTGAATCGCGATAAGTTGTATCAGGTCGTTCTGAGTCAATCGCGCTTTCCCTTCAGTCGTCATTCGTCCTGCCGAAATCACAAATTCTGCACATCGTGTCGACTTTCGCATCCTTGGTGGCACAGATCGCAGCCATCCGTTCGAGAATACACTCTCACCAACGGACAGCCTGGCTCTCACATGCCAGCAATGACGAGCGAGGAGAGCAGTTGGGTGGAATGCCAAAACAATGCTCGCTCCCAACAAACCACCCCAACAAGAACCCCAGCCATCTCCTCCCAAACCAAATCCTCTGGCCCTGTTCGATAGCACTTTGGGCCCCCACGATGCAACCATTTGGTTTGGCTCTGTCGCCCAAATGGTTCAGCGTCGCGACAAAATGCAAGTGGTAGGACAGTGCCGGCAGTGTAATCATTTTGGCTGACCCGAAGACGGCCGAGGTGGTCGAAAAGCTCCACCTCATCGGCCCTTTGAAGCAGACTGTTTCCAGCCGCGGGGTCTGCCCGGGGGTTCGACGGTCTGCGTTTTAACAAAAGACCCACCCAAATGTTTGTGCTGAAAATGTATTGAGTATTCCAGATCGGTTCCAGCATTAGTTAGGTGTGTCGAATGGATTTGTGGTGCGACTGGGTCATGCCTTTTGTTTGGCGCGACTATCCCTAAATAGCCCATTGGTCTTTCATTGGGGCCACTCATTTGAAAAGTAACATTGGCAATGGTCTGAAATTTTACCAGGGATGGGCTGTAATGATTAGGCGACAGTCACTGTTACTGCGCGCTGTGGTGTCAAACCACCCCATTAAAATTCCCGCCATGTTTTAGCAGCTGGGCGGGAAACCAAGGACATCGCAGGGGGGTCGTTCGCGCTGGCGGGAATTATGCCTCGTCGCAGGGGGTCGCAAACCGTTTCCCGCCCAACCAACGAGGTCACCTCAAAGCGTTTCTGGCGGGGTCACCCTCGCTGTCGAACAGGGCCTCTATCTAACCATCCGTCATCCCCCCTCTCTCAAGCCGCACTCACATTCGCCTAGCGCCTTTCCTCTCCCTCCTACCCCCCCTGGATTTCCCCTCCCACTCTCACACATAAGGTGATTTTTCAAGAATCGGCAGCAATTCTGAATTCAGACGTTCGTGACAGTTTCTGCTCGTTTCCAAGTTTCGCTCGAAGTCGTTTCCCATCCTCAACCTTCGCGGTAGTGAACATACGTCGCAGAACATTTCCTCTCAGCTATCCGTTTTCTTACAGGCATCATGATGGCGCGCCTCAGTCGTCGCCTCGCCATCACACTCATCGTTTTGGTCGGAGCCGCTGCTCATCTCCCCGCCAACGCTCAGTCATACTGCGGCTCCTGCAGCTGCGGCTCCTGCAGCTCCTACTATTCCTGCACACCCTGCAATGAAATGAACGGTACTTTTTGTTCTTTGATTTAAGCCCCATGATACGCGGCAAATTAAGCACCCTGATGCGATTGCAAATATGCGGGAACCAATTACAGCAGCCTAAATTCTAAATATGTTTCATAGTAGCGCCGTGCACCACTGCTGTTTTTCATCCGTAATCTTACGTCTGTTCCGAACCCTCTTCTAAATCCGAGACGACCTTCTCTCGCCGTCCCATGCTCATCATGTGTTGGCATCATCCCCGTACTACCATCGGCCGCCAGCCATGGTGATGATGCAGCTCGCCGTCTCCTGCGGCCTGATTGACTTCTCCAGCACCTCCAACTACTGTTCCATTGTTGGCCTTTCTTGCGACATAAACGGCTTCATTAACACGCTGTATATTCCCAACTTTCTTTTCTAGAGGCTCCAGAACCTCACTTTATAAAGAGCTTGCCCGTATCAACCTTGAGAATTTCCAACTCATGATGCCTCTGCTTCGCTGTTATTGAAGCCTTTGTTTCATCTAGTCGTGTGCGCTTGCGCTTCGTCCCTCCTAACGAACCCTTCGTTGTCACTGCTTCAAGTTCTCATGCAATGGTATGGCCCGGGCGCATGAACATGGTGGGGTAATTTCTATTCCCTCCTTCGTTTGCTCGCCGTTATGTCTTCCACCATCACAGAGACCTAGGCAATCGCTCTCTCACCGGCTGCTCCATTCCAAACGGCATCACCAAGCTCACGGAGCTAACCAAACTGTACGTCCCGTGGCACTGCGTGCACCATTCATTCCACAGTATACTGCACCGCCCTTGTGGATGCGTACAAGGAGTCTTTGTTGTGCACTCATGCACACATGATGTACGGATCTCCGAAGTATTTTCATTGTCATGTGAAGCAGAAGCGCGTCCACGTATGCGCATGGCAAGTAATAATCCCCAGTCGCATTTGGGTGTTCTCAATGTCATGTGAAGCGACCGTATTCTGCATTACCTCAAATGTCTTTCTCCGTTCCTTTCGGAACCTCTGCTGTTCATTTCACTTCTGCGCATGCAGTGAACTCTGGGGTAATCAGCTCACTGGCAGTATTCCGTCAGGCCTTTCACAGCTGAAGCGACTTCAGTATCTGTAAGCAGGCCTCAAGCTCATTACAAAAACATCAAATTACAGAACAGGCACAAAGAGCCCCTCAAAGATAGGGTGATATCCGTTAATGTTGAAAAGGTCTTTTCCCTTTTGTGTAACCCTCGACCGTACCTTTCCTCTGCTCGTGCATGCTGCCTTTCATCTAGCGCATATATTATCATCCAGAATTTGCTGCCCGGCTTTCCATAAGCAAGTCTCCTGCACAACCTCCTATTCCCCGTTGCTACATGTGCAGTGGCCTGGCCCACAATCAGCTCACTGGCAGCATCCCCTCGGAGCTTTCAAGACTCCCGAATCTCCATAATCTGTGAGCTTACAACGAGAATGCATCACTATGATTAGGCACTGAAACTATCTAGAGCTGGCATGACTTTTTGCCCTCTCTCGCCTCTCACATTCATGTGCAATCACATCATGTTTTACCCTCCAACTTGCAGCCACTGCTTCCATCTCACATTGTAATCCCATTCACCGCTGTTAACCACAGAATCTGTGCAATAAACACACAATCGTGTCTTTGCCATCGACATTGACTCTGTTTCCCCTCCCTTTCCCCCATGCTTGTTCTCACCCCCATTGTGCGCCTCTCCACAATGACTCTTCCAGCAACCTGCAAGGCAACCAACTGTCTGGGCCCCTACCACCCTTCTTGGGGGAAAGAGCACCGCGATATTTACAAGTGTAAGGATATGCACAAAAGGGGGGAGAGGGGGGGGGGGGGGGGGGGGGGGGGGGGTGGGGGGGAAAGAATAAGGGCGCCAACACCAAGGTTGGTATAGAAAAGAAGGGCAGCACGTGCACAACAACAATCCTGCTTTTTTTTGCAATACGGGAATCAGAAAAAAGTTGTTAACAGGATATTGTTATTCAGAATTCACACAGGACATGCACCATCACTAGGAAGGCCACCCTGCACCCCACACGCAATCATCCCGTCTGCTATCAGCCACCGTGCATTTGCAAAATTCCTTGCTCCCTAACAATCTCTCTGTTCTCCACCCCACCATACCACCGTTACCATGACCTTCCAGGAATATTGACTGGGATAGCTTCGTGTGCCCTCCCAACAAGGGCAGTTGCGAGGTGGTGCAATATCCATACACGCCCTTTTGTAAAAAATGCGCGGGCTTCTGTTCCACGTGCAGCCCTTACGGCAGTACGTTCCATGTCTCTCTCCCTCTCTCTCTCTCTCTCTCTCTCTCTCTCTCTCTCTCTCTCTCTCTCTCTCTCTCTCTCTCTCTGTCTCTCTCTCTCTCTCTCTCTCGAATGGCCCTTTCATTGATTATCATAGGACTTACAGGCATGCAAGGTGGTAGCTTTTGTGAGTCTGGTGCATAAAGCCTCTTACCACTCTTCTACCATAAAGCCTCTCTCTCTCTCTCTCTCTCTCTCTCTCTCTCTCTCTACTCTCCTCTGCTTTCTATTGTGATTTCTTCTGCTGCGTCTTCTTCTTTTTCGTGGGCGGGGGAGAGGGGAGGGTGGAAACAAACAGAACTCTTGCAACGACACTCAAACAGAATTCTTGCAAACAGAGCACTGATGTTCCTCATGGAACGAGGCAGCCTGGCTGATCCTTGAGGGTTCGCTTGAGAAGAACAATCAGAATGCTGCTTCGATTCTATGGGATGCTTATCCTTTGATCCCTCAGCTACCGCAGTCAAATATCAGCCACGCTGCATTATGGCTGGCTGGCATCCGCATCCCATGCTAGAGTATCCCCGCCCTTCCTGTCTTACCCAAGTGACCCAAGTTATTGGTTGCCCATAGGCAAGTTACCACTTACCTGCTCTCACCCAACTTCCTTTTCCTGCTCTCCATATGCAGTGTCAACTGCTGGGATCTACTATGGCCTGCAGATGACTCCAGGAGAAATCGTGGCCATTGTGGTGGCCTCTGCGGTGTTCTTGCCCCTGCTGCTGCTGGTCGTGTACCTGACTTACATCCGTGTAAAGGAGCAGAGGGAGAAGGAGAAGCGGGAGAAGGAGAGCAAGGAAGAGGGGGAGGCGGAGAGGATGGAAGGAGGAGGCAGTGATGGGGAGAGGGAGGAGGGGGGAGAGGCGAAGGCTGCTGCTGTGGAGAGTGGCAGTGGATGGTGGTTCTTCAGAAAGAGCAGTGGTGGAGCAGAAAAGCCAGCAGGAGGGGATGCCGCACTGCCAGCAGCAGGAGAAAAGGCAGCCGGGGAAGTGGCATCAGCACCATTGGCAGACAGCACAGCAGCAGCAGCAGCAGCAGCGACAGTGGAGACACGTGGAGCCGGTAAAGCAGAACGGGCGGGAGGAGGGTGGAGGTGGCCGTGGCAGGCAGCTGCAGAGGTTGCAGCAGCACACGCAGCAGCCGTTGCTGCATCAGGAAGAGGAGCAGGAGGCGTGGGTGCAACGGGGGGTTGTATGGGGGGAGCAGAGGCGCGGCCTATGGTGTGCCGGCAGTATTCGCTGGCGGAGGTGGCGGCAGCGACGGGCGAGTGGGCGGAGGCGAAGCGCATTGGCAGCGGCAGCTTCGGGGATGTGTACAAGGGCGCCAACCCCACCGCTCCCCATGAGATCTGGGCCGTCAAACGCGCCAAGGTCCTCACCAACGACTTCAAGCGCGAGGTACGCTGCACACTGCCGTGATACCCCATCTCGTGTGCCGACTGTCCACACCAACCACTTCAAGCGCGACGTCACAGGCTTACTATATATCTCAGTGATTGATTTGTAGGTGAGCGTACCGTAACTCGTGTGCAGGCTGTAACATTTTGTTTGCTTCAATTGCGCCCTCCCTCCCCATCCTATGCCCTTTCATCCCTCCCTGCCCCCACCAACTCCTCCCGCCTGATCTGCCCCCTGCCTCTTCATCCTTCCCTGCCGCATCCAACCTGTCCCATTTTACCCCTCACCCTCACCACCCCTCCCCCCTGGTTCCTCCTCCTTCGCGGCGCAGGTGAACGAGATGGCAACAAAGAGCCATCCGAATCTGGTGAGGCTGCTGGGGTACTGCATGGACTATGACCCGGTGGCGGAGCGCATGGAGCAGATCGTCATCTACGAGTTCGTCGATAATGGCGACCTCGACCGCTGGATTGGACCCCGTGAGCCCTTCACTGCCTCTGCCACCTCATTGCCCAGCCTTGCCGAGTCGAGTTTCATAGGCTTTTGTGCATGGGGCATCGTGCAGAAAGCTCGCATATGCGGCTATTGTCGGCTCTCATTTGTGTTGTTTTTCCTGCACTTAACCACTTTTGCTATGACTTGCATGCATGACACTGTCATCTGCCCCATGCCTGCGTGCAGGGAGCCCCCACCCCCTGGCGGTGCGGGAGCGGCTGGACATTCTGATCGGCATGGCCCGCGGCCTTGAGTACCTCCACAGCTTTGGCATCGTGCACCGCGACATCAAGCCCGCCAACATCCTGCTCGACTCCAACATGCAGGTGTGAATTGAAATGAGCACCTCAGAGTATCCATTCTTCAAAAAGTGATGTTGCATTGTCAGCAACCCGTTTTACCTATGAACTTATGCTCTGTCCCCTGCAGGCCAAGATTGCGGACTTTGGGCTGGTGAGGCATGGCGAGGGCACGTCAGTGATTGCGACGCGGGTGATGGGCACACCGGGCTATGTGGACCCGGCTTACTACAAGTCACAGAAGGCCACCCCCATGGCTGATGTGCATAGGTAATGATGGGAGACAAGTGCAATCTGTTTTTGCAATAGGTACAACTCCACATTATGTAAGCAACTGCATCATCTTGGTCTCATGACTCATTTGCTCTTTGCATTCCCCCACAGCTTTGGAGTGGTGATGCTGACACTCATCACAGCTCGCAAGGCCATCTACAATGCGGATGCTGATCAGATCAACCTCAAGCAGTGGGTGAGCTCCCTGACTCCTCTCTTCAACTCCTACACTCTTTCCCATGACTAATTTAAAACTTCTGCCAAGTTAGATATTTTGTAACATCCTATCATATGACAATGTTCGTCCAATTCCCGCCTCGTTCAGGTGGCTCCGCTGCTAGCCGCTGGAGACGCGGGCGCGATGAGGGATCCGCAGCTGGAGGCGCCGGACGACTTGGTGCTGCGCATGGCCCGCCTCGCCCTGCGCTGCACCGCCATGCCCACCGCCTCTCGCCCCTCCATCAGCCGCGTGCTCGGCGAGCTGCTCGTCATGAAGGAGGAGTTTCTTGGGAAAGACGAGGACAGGATGGCGGTTCGCATTGACCGCGACTTAGAGATCTCCTCGGATGTCAACCTGAGCATGGAGATTGCGCGTGCCCAGGGAGCAAAGAGCAGTGGAGGGCTCTCTAGCAACCCCTAGAGCCCATTTGGATTGCCATCTCAATTGTATCCAATGAGATCCCCTTTTGATGCACATGCCCCTAACACTCTAAGTGCTCTCGTGGTGATAGTGTTGTTTGACATCCGGTTGCTAGCAACTCCTATCCCAGCTCTTGCCCCTCTTTTAGTATGTCCATCATCTAATTTAATGCTTCCGAAGCTATGCCTCTACAATCCAAATACATTTTCATGATCTGAGACCTTACATTGTCATTCTGTTTACAGTCTTTGACTTTTAGATTGTGAAAAGTTGTCCTAACAATGATGCCAAAGAAAGTATACATCATGGACTTATCTGCTGCCATGCACATCAATGGAGGAATACTATTTGTTTTAATGGGAGAGGGCATGTTCTGTTATTTTTGTTTAGCCAGTGTGTGATTCTGGTATGAGAATTCGATTACGCTATATTGCTCTTTTAGATTACCCGTATGCAAAGAAATGATCATACCCAAGCCAGCCTAGGGAGGCTTATAGAGAGTACGCGGGTTCGTCCATATCCCTTTCACCTCGCTGTCCTGACCCATTTCTTTTTCTAGAGAGTCGGAGAGCCTTCAATCGAGATCCGCCAGCCATACATCTTCAAGATCTTGCCAGCCAGGCTTTTGCAAGTCAACGCCGCTCCATGCGGGGCCATCCATGCCTTTACTTCCACGGTCAATGACTTCCATAGTCGAGATGACGTGGAGCCTCGATGCCATTCGCATCCCTGCTGGCAGTAGCTGTAACCGTCCGATCTCGCCACAAGGAGAAAAGACAGGAGTGGACGCCATCATGGCGGGATCCTGCTTGCATCCACCCAAACCGCTTCCCGTTCTCTTTTCAGATTTGATGTCCCAACATCACACTCCTCAAGTGGACGCGAGGGGCGGTTCATTTGTCATTAGTCTTCCTACAACTTCACTTCACAATCAAGAACCAGTCATTAGTGCCCGCTCCTAGTCATTCCTGACTTCGCCGCCAGTCAAGTTGCTCTCCTCAACGTGTCTGTTCAACTGATCCTTCCCAGCTGTCTCACCTAAGTGCATCTTGATGGTCATCATGGCGTGTCTCATTCGCCGCCTCCGTCTCACACTTTTGGCCCGGCTCCCGAAAATAAGCCCCAATCTAACGATTCTGCTCCTCATTATCGGTATAAATCACCACCCTCGACCCGCCAACGCGCAGTCCGACTGTTATTGCCAATACTTACCCTGCTCGTGCGACGATCATTATCAGTGCTCCTGCAACGCAACTGCCTACGACGAAACCCAAGGTGCGGTACCCAGAAAAGGTGTGCCCGCAAGGTGCGATGCCCTCAAGGTTTGATGCCCGTCAGCTGCAGTACCACGGGCTGTCTTGGACCGTATTGTGCAGTGCACATCGGAGCCTAAACGAAGATTGGACGGGAGGCTGACATGAACAATACTCGTTTTACGCTTCCTTTCTGTTGACTCATGGCGTAAAACTTGTTTGGCCCTCGTACTATTTACCTATGGGTTCTGCTACATTGTGAATACAATGCTTTATAGATAAAACACGATGCTGCAGAATCTATGTACATAGTACGAGACCCTCCCATTTTTGTTATGCTAAGCAGCAGCAGGCTGCTCATTAGTTTCTATCAACATATGTTTGAGAATAGTAGAACATTTTGCAGAGGCTGCTGCCACGTCCAAAAGCACAACAATATCTTCGGGATGCCCTGAGAGGCTGTTACCACGTCCAAGAGCATGCCGGGGGCTGTGGGCGCGCCACGATTGAACACTTCTCCGAGTCTGTATTCTCTTGCGGGTGCATGCGCAGCCAGGGTGATGGCGGAGTTCAGGCCGTGCGGCCTGACAGACTCCTTCAACCCGTCCTACTGCTCCGTGAAAGGCGTTCTCTGCGACTATCGCGGCATGGTCAACTCGCTGTGAGTGACCCCATGGCATCAATCATGCCGACATCCACCTATCTTTCCAAGCTCTGCTCGTGCGGCGGCCTCACAGCCCCATCGCACGTGACCTCCATGCCACATGCTATTCGTTTCACAGTGATCCTGAAAGTTACCCACCCATCCCCCAACGTTTCCCTGACTGGACTGCAGCCATCATGGATCTGGATGGCTTGGCATGGCGTGACTAGATGACATGGCATTCGCGATTTCTTGGCACTTGCTGTCATGCTAGTCTTGTTTAAGCGCCTGGAAACTCGATTGCCACCATGCGAATCCCTTTCTCAGGGACCTCGGCAGTCGCTCTCTTGTCAGCTGCAGCATCCCCTACAGCATCAGCAAGCTCACTGCGATGACCAAACTGTACGTCTCTCTCACAACCACCACCCCGTCTCAGTGCATGCATATTACCACAAGTGCCTTTGGGGCGCCTCTATATCTCTTCCATCACAGTTCCTTCTCGCATTATGGAATGAGATTCTCTGCTGCTGTGTGCGGCCATGGCAGGTCCCTGGCGAGCAACAAGCTCATGGGGACTATACCGGACTCTATCTCCACTCTGAACTCGTTAAAAGAGATGTAAGTCCATTCGTCCTTTGAGGCGCCACTTTAAGCCCACCCCAACCTCGTTAAGGAAACAGTGAGTCGGCACGTCTTTTTTTTACTTATCTCACAGGCTAATCAACTTCTATCACCTGCTTTCCGCCCTGTCACTTCTCCCAACATCCTGTGTGTAGTGAATTATCGAGAAATCAGCTCTTTGGCAGCATTCCTTGGGGGATTATGCAGCTCACAAATCTCACTTACCTGTAAGCATGCTCTGGAGAACGTGCGGAAGGAGGGAGCACAGGTTTGCCTTGCGTCCTTCGCAGTCTTGACAACTTTTGTTGAACTACGAAATCTTAGGTGGGCGTATCAAAGTGACAGGTGCGGAAAGATCACCGTATGCAGACTAGGCTTCGTAAGTGAAGATAGAAAGCAACAAGAGATGGCCAGGAACAAAACAAGTCGAGGTTCGCATCTGTCCTCTCAAGTTTCCTAGTCTATCCACTCCACATGTCGTACCTGCAGTGACCTCTCACAGAATCAGCTCACTGGCAGCATTCCTCCTCGCATATCAAGCTACCGGCCCACCTACAGCAGCTACTACTACTCCTATGAAACATCCGATGGAAATTCGTGCTGTCATACTGCTTTTCATCCATCATTCAATTTCACCCATCTTGAAGCTTCCATGCCCCATGCCCCATGCCCCATGCCCTCTTCTGCCCTTCATTCTCTCACAGCCGAATGCAATCCAACCAGCTGTCCGGGACCCTTCCCGCCACCTCGGGAAAATTTAACAGCCTGTGAGAACTGCACTGAAACGTGTAGAGATTGGGCATTGGACAGGAGCAGATGGGGGAAGGGAGGAATGCCGAGAGGAGAGAGGGAGAAATGTAAGGGAGGGAGAAAGTGGGGAAAAAGAGCGGCGGCTCGCAAAAGAACAGGTTTATGACTTTATTGTGCTCTATGGAGTTCCCTGCTGGCATGACTCAGTCAAGTGGCTTGTCATTTCTTAGCCTTGAGAGCATTTCACCAGCTGTCTCGGAATGGTAGTGCCCTCCCCTCCCCTTCTCAGAACACTTGCACTCCAACATCATCCCCTGTCAGGAACATCGACTGGGATAACTTCACGTGTCCTCCCAACGAGGGAGATTGTGCGATTTACCAATATTACAATTCTCCATTCTGCCGCCTGTGCCCGGGCTTCTGTGCTACTTGCAACCCTTCCTACAGTACGTCTGTATGCCGCATGCTGCTGCTCTCGTTGGGGGCCCCTCAGGAGTTAGCCTCCAGGCTGATGCCCTTCGTGCTCTCTTGACTGCATGCTCTCTTGTGTACTCCCCGCCAATCTCTCCCCGCCAATCTCACCTCGTGCACTCACGTCCCGGAAATCACCAATCGTCGTGAATCTTTCGCCTCTTTGATTTGTTCTTCCCAGTGGCAACCACGAGAAGCCCGTTCAACGACGTGGCATCTTCAGAAGACATCGTGGGCATTGTGGTTGCCTCTGCTGCTGCTGATCGTGTACCTGACTTACATCCGCGTGAAGGAGAAACGGGAGAAGGAGGGGCGCGAGAAGGAGAGCAAGGAAGAGGGGGAGGCGGAGAGGATGGAAGGAGGAGGCAGTGAGGGGGAGAGGGAGGAGGGGGGAGAGGCGAAGGCTGCTGTGGTGGAGAGTGGCGGTGGATGGTGGTTCTTCAGAAAGAGCAGTGGTGGTGGCGGAAAAGCAGCAGCAGGGGATGTTGCACTGGCACTACCAGCAGCATCAGCAGCTGGTACAGCAGCAGAGACCGCAACACCAGGAGATGGAAAACAAGCATCAGCAGCACCAGCAGGGGCTGTGGCAGGAGGCGCAGGAGCAGCAGGAGGAGGGTGGAGGTGGCCGTGGCAGGCAGCTGCTGCTCATTCCGCTGCAGAAGCAGCCGCAGCACACGCAGCAGCCGTTGCTGCAGCAGGAGGCGCAGCAGCAGTGGGTGCAACGGGGGGGAATGTGGGGGCAGGGGGGGCAGAGGCACGTCCGTTGGTGTGTCGGCAGTATTCGCTGGCGGAGGTGGCGGCAGCGACGGGCGAGTGGGCGGAGGCGAAGCGCATTGGCAGCGGCAGCTTCGGGGATGTGTACAAGGGCGCCAACCCCATGAGATCTGGGCCGTCAAACGCGCCAAAGTCCTGACCAACGACTTCAAGCGCGAGGTACGCTGCATGCACTCTCGCTGAGAGGGCTCCACACACACTCTCGACGTCACGAGATTGCCAACCTTTTCTGTGCAGGTTCTAGCAAGATTTCCAGTACTTTTTCTGTTCACTCTGTCCCTCCTCTAGCCCCTCTCTTTCCACTTGAAAATCCCATGCCCTTCCTCTCATCCCACACTCTCACCCCTCCCCACGCCTTCGCACAGGTGAACGAGATGGCAACGAAGAGCCACCCAAACCTGGTGAGGCTGATGGGGTACTGTTTCGACATCAGTCCAGACACGGAGCGCATGGAGCAGATCGTCATCTACGAATTCGTCGACAACGGC